AGAGTTCAGCCTTGAAGCCTCACTCAGCCAAATGCTTTGGGCTCAGATCGTAGCAGCAGGGAAAGCATCCGTGGTGAGAATCGGGAAGAGTGAAGTGTGTGCTGTGGGGATTTGCTGCCTCTCGTTTGGCGACACCAAGAACCGGTTCCTGGGGCTGTTACCTCACCTTGTCCCCGATTACAGCATCGGAGCAGGAGGAACGAGCAATGCACATGTGCGAAAGGTGGGGTTGTCTCACGCCCCGACTTGACATCTGGGCTTTTAACAAAGGTCGGAGCTGTGGGGTACAGCTGATTCAAGCAGCAGAGACGGAGGGTCTATCTCTCAGCCCAGGCAGAAAGGAAGCAGGCCCTAGTCCCTGGTTCCACCTCCTGCTCTCCTTCTGACCCTGCAAGAAACAGGTGCTTTTTCCTTCACATGAGGAAAGCACCCAGTCAGAGCCCTGAAGATTCCCACATGCTGAGACCAAACATGAGTCCAGTGTGAGAGTCAGCCAAGACAGGCGCAAATGGGGACCTCCGGGTCTTGGCAGAAGTAAGAATTACCATATTCAAAAATGTCTCAACTTCTTTTTGAAAATCATATAAAATACTTAAAGAAATCTAGGATAGGGCCCGGCGCGGTGGCACAAGTGGTTAAAGGTCCTCGCCTTTCACGCCCGGGATCCCATATGGGCGCCGGTTCTAATCCCGGCAGCCCCGCTTCCCTTCCAGCTCCCTGCCTGTGGCCTGGGAAAGCAGTCGAGGACGGCCCAAGGCTTTGGGAACCTGCACCCGTGTGGGAGACCCGGAAGAGGCTCCTGGCTTCGGATCGGCATAGTATCGGCCCGTTGCGCTCACTTGGGGAGTGAATCATCGGATGGAAGATCTTCCTCTCTGTCTCTCCTCTCTGCATATCCGCCTTTCCAATGAAAAAATAATAAAAATAAATCTTTAAAAAAAAAAAAAAAAAGAAATCTAGGATGGGGCTGGCATTGCAGTGTGCCAGGTAAAGTTGCCACCTGTGGCATTAACATCTCATTTGGGCACTGATTCACAGCCAGGCTGCTCCACTTTTGATACAACTCCCTGCTAACTGCCTGGAAAAAAGCAGCAGAAAATGGCCCAAGATTTTGGGCCCCTGCTACCCACATGGGAGACGTAGAAGGAGCTCCTGGCTTACGGTTACCTGCAGAGTGAAGCAGCAGATGGAAGATCTCTCTCTCTGATTTTCAGATAAATAATCTAAGGTGAAATCTAAGGTGAAGTCATAGGTATGAGGAGACCTGGCAAAACTGAAAAAAGAAACAGACTTTTTTTTTTTACAAATTAAAAAAATGCAGCTGATGACATTTAAACCATCAAATAAATGAGTCAATTAAACAGCAGAATAAATAGCTGAAGAGAGAATTTTCTAAATGAAAATTAGGTCAAAGGAAATTACCAAGAGATAAGTGCTACAAAGGAGAAGAGCTGTCTAATTGACACACATTGTCCAGATTTGTGTTAAAATTAGAACTCAGTCTCCGAGTTGCACTAGCCAGATGTGGCTCACAGCTGTCCTATTGGACAGCTAAGGTTATGCCGTGTGTCCATCCACATGGAAAGTTGCATTGCAGAGAAGACTATACAGCAGGGAAGTTAGAAGTTTACAGTACAGTGTGAGTCTGGCATCCCAGAAAGAACAAGCAGTAAGAATGGAGAAAGGTCATGTTTGAAGAGATGATAGTGGAAATGCGTCCAAAAAAAAAAACGAGAGGAAGCTCGATTTGTATCAGCTGGAAAAACGAAACCAGGATCCACATCTAGTCACATTGTTTTGAAACTGAAGAACAGCAAAGATTGTTTTTTTAAGTTATTAACAAATAAACAGCAGTGGGCTGGCAGTGGGCTTCTCTCTAGCAAAGGAGACAGAACCATGGAGCAGTGCTCCCAGGTACACAAAGAACATAGTGGCAGCATTGCACTGTCCCCAGCAAAGCTCCCTGAAGAATGAGGTGATACAAGGCTGTCTTACATTGACTAAAGGTTAGCTGACTGCCAGGGTATTTTTAATCAGGGGCATTTTAAAATCATGTTTTCCAGAAATAATAAAAAAATTATTTCAGAAGGAAAGTCTGAGACTCAACAATAACAAAAATCATGAACAAAGTACTGATATATTTGTAGGCAAATTATTTTAAGCACGTATCAGGATAATGACAATGTCTACATCACGGGTTTGTCAATATTCATTTGAGAGGGAAGGGCAGGGTAGGAGGCAGTGTTCCACCTGCTGGTTCACTCCCCCAAAGAATCACAGTGGCTGGGGCTGAGCAGGCTGAAGTCAGGAGCCAGGTACTCCAGCCAGGGCTCCCATGTGGGTGCAGGAGCCCTAGCACTTGGGCTATCTTCCACTGCTCTCCCAGGCACACTAGCAGAGAGCTGGATCAGAAGTGGAACAGCCAGGATCCAAACAGGGCTCTTATGAGGCGCTGGCATTGCAGGAAGAGGCTAAATGCACTGTGTCACACCGTCGGCCCAATCACATGATTTTCTTTGTCAAAAGGACGGAGCTCAGATAGTGGACATGGTAAGCATGGAGGTCAACAAGTGTCATCAGAATTCATGTTTTACATAGTTCTTACTGTTTAGGACAGGACGTTAAAATATCTGTCAAACCAGATGTGCTGTGCAGGTGCAGGGCCCCAAGCATGTGGGTCCTCTGCCTCTGCTTTCCAGGTGCGCTAGCATGTAACTGATTGGAAGTGGAGCAGCCAGGATTCCAGCAGCTGACGCTTCCATAAGGATGCCAAGTGCAGCTCATCCCGCTGCACCCTCAAGGCCAGTCCCAGGGCTTTCCCTAAAAGGCTTTTCCTAACAGTCCAGGGAAGGAACATTTTCTGCTCACTGGGCCAGACGGTCTCTGCCACAAATGCCCGCTACTGCCCCTGAGGTCAGGAAACATGGTTGTGGCTGTGGATGAGCAACCTTGGGTCTAGAACACACACACACACACACACACACACATGCCAGGAGGGCTTGGCCTAAGGCCAGCGTCTGCTCACACTTAGTTAAGCACAACTCCAGCGAGCACCCCTGCAGGCTGCATTTGAGGGACGCTTGGACCACCCCATGACATGACAGCCAGGCTCAGGGGTGTAGCACTAACACTGTGTGGTGTCCACATGGTCTGTGTGTTTGTGTGTGTGCACGCACACACGTGTGCTGTGTATGTATACACGTGCATGTGTTGGAGCAGGGTGATGGGGCATGGCGCACCTTTCTCAGCCAGGTCCCCCCACGGTCCTCTGGGTGTGTGCAAGGCTATGGAGGACCTATCACTTAGAGTCCCTCCTCAGATGCTCCCAATGGCTCGGCTGGCCCCTGCCATACTGCAGCCCCCCTGGGGGGCCACCCAGCTGTACTTGTGGGCCATTCCTCTCCCAGGGCTCCTAGATATAAAAGCTGGCACTGTGACACCTGCATCTGGAAAGTGCCTTTAACGAACAGTTTGTCACCCCAAAAGCCCTGCTCGCTGCTTCCCTCGGAAGCTGCCCTGCCACTCAGTGCTTGGCAGGCAGGAGCTGTGTTTTTGCAGGAACCCAAGCACACGGAAGGGACGCAGCTGGACCCCGGCGTCGCTCTGGGCTGGACACTGCCATTGACAGGAGTTGTAAAGACCCTGAGGTCCTCAAGTTCATACAGCCCCCAAGCCTTTGTCCACGCCTCTGCCGTCCCTGCCCACCCCTCCCTCTCTGCGTCCTGTTCACCTTGCAGTCTCCACTGTGTCTATGCTGCCATCTCTCTCCCCATGGCTGGTTCTTCCGAGTTTCTCTTCTTTCGTCCCTATCAAACAGGCTCACTCTCTCTCCCCTGCTCGCTCTCTCTCTCTCCCAGGAATGGTCAGAAAATGTTCAAGCCCCAGGGGAGGGACCCTTTGCAAGCCACCCTTGCCGAAGGGCCCACTGTGACTCCCTGCTCACTGTACAATATTTGTCACCATCGGGGACACAGAAGAGCTGGTTTTCGTTTGGCTGTGTGTAACATGTGATCGATGCTGTGTGTAACCCAACAGAGCAGTGGCATGCAGCTCACACAAATAAACACAACATTCACTACGTCCTCCTTTCCAGCTTGGAAGTTTTGCAAATGTCTTCAGTATAAACTGTAGTTAGCTATTCCCCAATCCTGAGACTAGACTAAAGTCCTTGCAATCAGGCTTGTCGCTCCACATGGAGCACTTCTCGCAGAGCAGAATCTGCCCATTTGGGTTTTTGTTGAACTATGTTTTCAGAGATTCTATTGGCTGGGACTGTGTAGCCTGAACTCTGTGTGTTTGTGATGTTGATGTCAGTCTCAGACCAGGAATGGCTGAGAAATGGCGGGAAGGCGGGGCGCCTGCTGAAAGGCATGGAGCCTGCTGAAAGGCATGGAGCCGGAGCTCTGCGTAGCCTAAGATACCACCATGTGGTCCAGAGATGGGTCCTGTTCCACTGTTCACCCTGCTGAGGCCTGGGGAAGGACCCCACCTGCCTTGGTAGCAGGCAGGCACAGCACATTCCAGGGCCCCTTTGGAGGACTCCTGGGCAGCCGGGAGATGCAAGGGCGGCTCCTGAGATGGCGATGGCTCAGCTATGTAGAGGAGAGAGCAGCTAATGGTGGGTGTGCGGTGTGTGAGTGTGTGGGGCTGTGCATCCATGGCACCAGGTGTCTGCGGATCCCAGATTAGGTAATAAGCTACCAACAGCCAGTGTGGGGTGATAGAATTCTCTGTCTTGCTTCCTCCCTGGAATAAGCTGATTCTTTTCCTTTAGAGGGGGCTTTTTGCCATGGGGAGAGGGACAGCCGAAGGGGAAATCAAAAGGCCATTTTGATTCTGAAGAGAAGAACTGAATGTGGGGGCAGGGCAGTAAGACATCCCCGGCCTGCTCCTGTAGCCACAGATGCAGCTCCCACAGCCCTGCCCCCGCCCTGCGGCCCCACCTGCCTCTTGCCCCTCCCTACCCCCAGCATGGCCGCACCTGTGCTTGTGTGTTACAGACTCGGATAGCCAGTGTAGCCCCACGCGGCAGAGCCTCAGTCTGTCGGAGGGAGAGGAACAGATGGACCGGCTGCAGCACGTGGAGCTGGTGCGGACCACGCCCATGTCCCACTGGAAGGCGGGCACCGTGCAGGCCTGGCTGGAGGTGGTCATGGCCATGCCCATGTATGTCAAGGCCTGCGCCGAGAACGTCAAGAGTGGGAAGGTAGGTGGCACTGGGCCAGGGCAGGATCTGTCACACCCCCTCATATCCCCTGCCATGGGCTTCAGGTGACTCTGAAGCAGACCCGTCCCCATCCTCACGCCTACCTCAGGCCAGCCAGGCCCTGATGGCCCCACCACATCACTGCATCCTATCAACGCTTGTAGTCCTTCCGGATGCAGTAGCTACCTCACCTGTGAAATGGGACCAGTCGCTTAGCTGGCTTGGCGGGGGGAGATTGGCTCCCAGAGCAGAGATCCCAAGATGGGTTGTGGAAATGTTTGCCCAGCTGTCCAGAAAGGAAGCAGGCGGAGGAGAGAGGGGCCCTGCCCACAGATCCTGCAGGAATGGCGGGGAGACCGAGAAGGTCCCTCCCAGCACTCAGCCCCCTCCACACCCTCCTCTCCTGCCCCTGAGCAGGTGCTGCTAAGCCTGAGTGATGAGGACCTGGAGCTGGGCCTGGGTGTGTGCAGCTCCCTGCACCGGCGCAAGCTCCGACTGGCCATTGAGGACTACCGCGACGCCGAGGCAGGCAGGAGGTGAGCCCAGCGCGGACCCTGGCAGTGTCTGGGTCACTCCAGGTGCTGTGGGCTGGCCCAGAACTGGGGGGCAGGAGATGGAGTGTGAAGATGGGACCTGTCCTACTCTGGGCCAGCCCCTCCACCTAGAGAAATGGGCACGAGTCCCCCTGTGTCCTGTGACACCCCCTCCCCACGTGGAAGCCAGTCACACACCTCTCAGAACCCCTCTTCCTCAGCCAGCCTGAGCCAGTCTACAAAATGAACCAACATGTCTGTCCCACCCACTGCCACTGCATCTCAGCTCTCAGCACTGTTTTCAAAGATTACAAAGTCAGAGTTATGAGAGGGAGACAGAGAGAGAAAGAATATCTTCCTTTATTGGTTCACTCCCCAAACGGCTGCAACAACCAGAGCTGGGCAGGTCCAAAACCAGGAGCCAGGAGCTTCCTCCAGGCCTCCCACAGGGGTGTGGGGATCCAAGGCTTTGGGCCATCCTCTGTAGCTCTCCTAGGCTCTTAGCAGGGAGCTGGATAGGATGTGGAGCAGCCAGGACTCAAAGTGGCACTCATATGGCATGCCAGCACCACAGGTACAAGATTAGCCTGATGCACCACATTCCAGGGTGAGAACCCTTCATTCAGCAAACAGCTCGGGGTGAAGGAGCTCCCAGCTGCACCTGCTGAGGCCTCAGCCTGCAGATGGGAGAGGATAAGCCTCGTTGAATCCAACCCACAACTTCCTTATGATTATATCCTTGGCTGCTTCCCCCATCACTCTGTGTGTGCAACTCTTTCCTCAGACCTGGTGGTGTGTGCTATTACTGGCGTAAGCAGCTGTGGGTGAAGGTGGAGAGGCGAGGGGACTCAGGCTGCTTTGGGAGCAGCACATCCATGTGTGGACAGAGGAGGGTGATGCTGAGTGGAACAGGTACTGACCTCCAGGACCTGGTCAGGAGCATGGCTAGCCACGAGGTCCCAGAGGCAGGGATGGGGCGTGACGGATGCAGGAGTGTTAACACACCTGCTACATGTCCCCTGGGGGGGGGGGGGGAGCGTCCCATCAGCACCTAACTAACCTCCCACCTCCTAACCCGCCTGACTGCCCAGCCCTCCTAAAAGCCCTTATCAGCTTCATCACCCCAAGGCCAAAGCCCCAGGTCCACAGGGTCTGCAAAGGTGGCCTGCTCAGTTGCATAAACAGGAGGTATTCAGGCCATTGCTGTGCTTGGAATGCCGTAAAACACCATGATGGGCCCCTCATGGCAGCCACGCATTCGTCTCTCTAGAGGTTGCAAGCATCAGGCTGTGGATGAGGGCTGCGCTCCGTGCATCACAGTCGGAGCTTTAGTGCTGAGTTCTCAAATAGCAGAGAGAGAGACCCAGCCCACTCTGGCGTTCCTTCCCACTGCACCAATCCCACATGGGCATCCCACCCTCGTGACCTCATATTCCACTGAATCACCTCCCACCCCCAAATGCTCCTCCTCCAACTGCCATCCCACTGGGAGCTTCAGCATAAAGACCCCGGGGGTAAGGACTGCTGAGCCCTTCAGTGAGGCTAAAGTGGTCAGCTAAGACCTCTCCAGGAACACAAGTCTTTACTGCCCAGTGGGGAGACTGTGGTGTCCCCGCAGTTGTACCTGAGCTAAACCCCAAGAGCTGGAGGGCAAGGGACCCCCAGGGTCAGACACCACCGGACTTCCTAGTGGGGACAGAAACCTCATTCTGAGTGGTTGCTTCACACCGCGTGGAGATCCAGCCCGCGTGGAGATCCAGCCCGCATGCAGCTCGCCCTCTCTAGGCACTGTGAAATGAGGGGTGCAGCCAGAGCCCCATGGGACTCAGGCTTGAGTGTGGGACACTTTCCCGGGGGAGGTGCACACGCTGTCACAGCCTGGCATGCTAGGACCCACCAGACCATCCAGGAACCTTCGGGAATATTTCTTAGCACGACCTGCTATGTTACCCTGGGTATAATGCTGCCCTGTCTGACCTGGCTGCAAAACACAAAACCCACAACCCCTGGGCAGCCCCTCCCTGGACATGATTTTATCTAAGCATCACAATATCGGAGCAGGAGATGGACAATTTCACTCCCTTTCTAAAGAAGGGGAAAGAGAGGTGCAGATGGGTGACATGCACAAAGCCACATGCCAAAATACCTGGGTTCTGAGCCAATCGCCGTGGCATTATCCATGCCACCTTTGTGCCAGGTGTCCTGCTGCTGTTACTGGTAGAGCCCTCAGTGCCCACCCCCCCACCTTCCTTGCTCAGACCCTGTGCTCAGGCATCTTTGGTCTTCACAGCTTTGTGAACAAAAGCAGCAATGGCCCCTGTTTGAAGGTGAGGAAACTGGGACCCAGGGGAGTGAGGTTGCAGAGCCACGTACGGACGCCACGGCGCAGGGCAGCTTCCTATTGGCTGTGCTGAGCAGGCACGCAAGCGACACTGTCCTCACAGGGTCTGTGGAGGCCCCAACTCCATAAGGGATGCCTGAACTCCTTTGACACCACGTCACTACTCTGGTGATAGCTCAGACCCCCAGCTGTCAAAGTGTCGCCAAGTCGAGGCCCCATGGGGACAGCTTTAATGAAAAGAGAGTTGTCCAGAAAGGCAAGAGTGCCCTGAGTGTTGGCACACAGGTGGCTGCTGGTTATAAACGGGCCTCTCGGGGAGGTGAAGCCAGGCACCCCCTCCTCAGCCTCCATCCCAGATCTGCAGGGTGGCAGTGGTGGGTGCACGGCTGAGCTAAGTCTCGCACCACACTTGCTCCGCGTGGGACCTCTCTGGCCCACCAGCATCTGACAGCATCCCAGCGCCACAAGAACCAGGAGCCAAGCACTGCTTTCTGCCCCAGGCGGGAGGACTGGGTCCTGGGCCACATCACCCTATGAACAGCTGGGGCTGGCCCTGCATGGGGAGCTGGTGGGGAAGCAGAAGTTTCCTGTCCCAGACTCCCTATAGGGCAGCTCCTTAGGGGTGGGTTGAGCTGGATTGTGTTTGGTCATCAATGCGGTTGATGTTGAACCTGAACATTCACGGACCAGCCAGGGGCTGACCTAATAGCGAGGCAGCTGGCCCTGGTGGCATGACAGGTACACAGATGGGGTCTCTCCGGAGTGCGGGGCACCTAGCAGGACCCTCCCCAGCTCTGGTCCTGGAAGGTGTCTGGCACTCAGACATTTGGGTAGTGTCTGTGGGCGTAAGCCAGAGATGGGGGGCACTGCAGAGAGGAGACGCAGAGGCCAGGGTCCTGGGAGACCCATGGCGGGGACAGGAAGTGAAGCAGGAAGCTGGGAACTCAACCTCCCCGAGCCTTTCTTCCAGCAAGTGGTTGGGATCTGCACAGCCCCATGCAGAGTGTGGACCCACAAACGGTGTCCCTATCCACCACCCCGCACCCCACCACTGTCCCGGGCTGGAGGCAACAAAGGCGGGAAGAGAGAAAACGAACTAGAAGCAGAGTGGTTGCTAATCACTGTAGCTGTGCTCAGTCAGAGCCCTGAACGGGGAACTGAGCGGCACAGCAGCCGCTGAGATGGGATACCCCAGGGAGCGGAAGGAGTGAGCAGGGAAGGGCCGAGGGAAAGCACCCCCACCCGCCCCCATCGGAGTCCGGGTGCAGAGGGGGATGGGGAGCTTGGATACGCTGGGCCCTGGGGGTTTTATCCTGAGATAGGGCCTTGTTGAAAAAGGACCAGCTGGTGACAATGAGGAGAGTGGAGTCAGGAGGGGTGATGGTTGGAAAGTGGGGGCAGAGGCAGAGCCAGGGCTAGATATCTAAGCTGGAGATGGCCATGGGTTGGGACAGGAAAGAAGAGGGCCGGGAAGTGCCGCATGGGTCCAAGAGTTGGGGCGCCAGGACAGGACAGTGAGTACGGGGCTTCATGGGCTCAGGATGGTGAGGGAGGACTCAGGACTCCCCCTGCTTCTGGGGAGAGGTCCATGGCAGCCAGCAGGCACTGCAAGAGCGCCCGGTTAGAACCTGGGAGAGCAAGGAGGGACCGTGAAGAGGGTGCCCAGAGCTCTGGACACAGGCAGGGCCCAGAGAGGGAGTACAGGGGTGAACATGAGCCTCATCCTTGGATGAGGGCGAAGGGACAGTGAAGAACCATCTGGTCCCATCCATGGGAGCAGGCTCACACAGGGACATCACTGCTCTCCCACCTGCTCACCTTTCACAGCCGCTGGGGAACTCACCCAGCAGGTGGGGAAGCAACATTCTCATTCCTTCTGCAAGGCTGTCACCATGTGGCCATCAGAAGAATGACAGCCAGAGGACTCCCACCCCGGCACAACCACACCTTGACCCACTCAGGAAGCGTCCGCGTGCACTTGAACCAGTTTTGTCATGAAGAAGACAGATGTGGCAGAGAGAGAGAGGAATGAGAAATAAACAAGACGTAGGTTTCACGTGGACTCTGTGAGGACTGCTGTGTGGCTCTGGGCCAAGTCTGAGCAAGTAGGAGAGTGACCCGTCCTTGCTGCATATAGAGTGGACATTCTGGGAGGCCGTGGCTGACACTTCTCCTGAGGGTCAGCCAGGAAGCCAGATCAGCCAGCGGCTGTGATGGGGAGCTAACCAGAAGGTGATGAAGACAAGAGCCAGAACTGGGCTCTGTGGACCTACAGGAGTAAGATGGCCCGAGGCAGGTGCCAAGGTCCTAAGACATACTGCTCCGGCTGCCTGCCACTCTCACATGCCGATTGCAGCCGTGTCTCTCTTTCTGTTGCCTTCTGTCTGTTGGTCCAATCTGTTGTGTCTCTCCTATCCCCCTGTGCCTCCCCTCCATCCTTCCGTCTACCCCTGCCCCATCCATCTGTGGCTTTCTTGGCCTTCTCCCCAGCCCTGCTGGTTTCCTCCTGTCATTGCCTCTGCTTGCATCTCCACTTCCTCTCCTTTCTGCCGCCTTTCCCACTGTGCCTCTCTCTGGCTGTCTCTTCATCAGCTTATCCAAAGCGGCCGACCTGGACCATCACTGGGTGGCCAAGGCTTGGCTGAACGACATCGGCCTGTCCCAGTACTCCCAGGCCTTCCAGAACCACCTGGTTGACGGGCGGATGCTGAATTCCCTGATGAAGCGGGACTTGGAGAAGCACCTGAATGTGTCCAAGAAATTCCACCAGGTCAGCATCCTGCTGGGGATCGAGCTGCTGTACCAAGTGAACTTCAGCAGGGAGGTGAGTGCCGGGGCTGGGCAGGGGTGAGCCACCTGCTGACCCCTCTGGAACCCATGGTCTCTCTGTCCACCCACCCGCCTCTGTGTTCACCTGTCCACCCACCCATCCACCTACATACCCATCCATCTCCCACCCATCCATCTGCCCGCTCACCTACCCATCCACCGTTCCAAATATTCCTTCCTCCCTTTCTTCCTTCCAACTTTCACTTAATCCTTCTGTCCATTTATTCCCTCCCGTCCTCCCTCCCTGCCTTCCTTTCTCCTTTTCATCCATCCATGCATCCCTCCCTCCATCCATCTTTCCTTCAATATTTCCATTCATCATTTCTTCCTTCCTTCCCTCCCTTCCTTCTTTCCTTCCTCCCATACTTCCTTATTTTCTTCCTTTCTTCCTCCTTTCCTCCCTCCCTGCCTTCCTCCCTTCCATCTAGCTATCCATTTATTCATCCCTCTCTCCTTCCAACAACTGCTCCATGGCCGGTGCCAGGCTAGCACCAGTAAAGCATTCGGCGGTGGGGGACGTTCTAGGAAGTTGACACAGGGGCGGGCTCCAGGAGCAGACAGGAGGGCAGACGGGGCCCAGCAGAGAGAAGAGCAGGCAGAGGGGCAGGGACTGGCCCCGAGCAGCAGGGAAGTGACTGCCAGGGGGTGGCTGCTGGGCAGGGTAGCCAGGCCTGGGGCACAGCAACAAGTCTGGACTCTGCATGCCCCTTGATGCTGAACCCTCCCAGCCAGAATGTACAGACCACCAGCTCCCTGTCTCCCCATGCATTCACCAAGATTTGTGGGGGAGGACGGTCAGTGTGACTATTGAGCACTGTGGGACTGTGTTCAGACACGACTTTTCCTTGTGCGATGTCAGAGCCCACACAACACGGGGTTGGGAGAAGAGTGGCAGACACAGATTGCCTGAGCCTTCATTCCCCTCCCTTCATAAATATTGTACCTCGCACCTACCTGTCACGCCACAGGGCCTGGGCATGGGTGTGAGCCACATGGCCCTGACTCTGGGAACCAGGGTCCAGCAGAAGGAGCAGATATGGACAATGACAGGCTAGGGAGTGGGACAGGGCAGCTGGGGGCTGCAGGCGAGGGAGCCCCAGTGAGGCTGCATCCTCTGCGGAAGCACTGAGTCCAGAAGCCCAACCCCAGGCAGCCTGTGGGCAGACGGTGGGCCAGCCTTTCTGTAGGGCATCATGGAACAGTCCATATGGAGTGACACTCACAGTACCCAGGCTGCATAGGTCCCAGGAGTCTTGGCCCCACCTGGGAAAGACCTGGACAAACAGTCATTGAGTGCCTGCTCTCCAAGGTAATCCAGGGATGTGGGGGAGTTGCCTGGGCCTCCCTCAGCCCCAAGCCTTTGGCTCCAGCACCCACAAGACACCTCACCACGCCTCCCAAGGTGAGAGCTGGAGTCACAGGATTGTGTGGCCCAAGCAGCTGCAGATGGCCTAGCTGGGACTCATCACACAGGCACGTGAAACTCCATGTGGCGACACCGGGAACCCTTCGCTCTGCCCTGTGACCTTCCTGTGCCCCTCCCCATTGCCCACCCACACTGACTCTTACTGCCCCTACCCCTGCAAGGCTCTCCAGGAACGCCGGGCCCGATGCGAGACCCAGAATACAGATCCCGTGGTTTGGACCAACCAGCGGGTACATAAGTGGGTGCGAGACATCGACCTGAAGGTAAGGGGTGGCCTGGATGGTGGCGGCAGTGCTGGGGGGTGACCCCCAGACATGCAGACCCCATGCACATCTGTGTGCAAATCAAGGGCCCTTCCATGGGGACCATAGCAGGATAACTCCTGTCTGTCCCTCCCCAGGAGCCAGCTCCTCACCCTCTGCCCCACCATGATGATGAGGCCTCCGTGTTATGCTCCTCTCATGTGAGGAGGGGGTGCTGAGCCAGCAGGTGCAAACAGCTGCAGCACCCCTCATATTTGCCTGCTGGGGTCAGGGCCATGTCAATGACCTAAGATATCCACCCCTACAGTTCCTAAAGGGTACGAGATAAGAGGCCCCCTTCCCACATAAGCAAACCCTGGTCTCCAGGGCTCAAGTGTTTGCTGTAGGGATGCAGCCCCACTCGCATTCCCCACCCCGGGCTCACCAGCCTCACGTCCTTGCCCTCAGGAGTATGCAGACAACCTGACCAACAGCGGAGTGCATGGTGCCGTGCTGATGCTGGAACCCACGTTCAACGCTGAGGCCATGGCCACCGCCCTGGGCATCCCCAGCGGGAAACACATCCTCAGGAGGCACCTGGCTGAGGAGATGAGCGCCATCTTCCACCCGGCCAAGTAAGTGCGGGCCACACCCAGGCCAGGGCTCTGCCGGGGCTCTGGGCAGCTCTGGGGCTGGGCCCCAGGCGTCAGTGGATTTGTCCCTTGCAAGAGGGGAAATCAGAGCCACAAGGAAGAAGGGTTTGGGCTGAAAGGTCAGAGACAGGAAAGTTCCAACGGAACAGGCAGGTATTGAAGGTGGTTTCTTGGCCAAGCTCGTTCAGGGTTTGTGGATGGTACTGGCAGACCCAAGATCTGAACTTCAGACCTTCTATCTCCAACCTACACACTGAACCCCTCAAAACACGTGGGCCTTGGGGCGCGGCTGGGCCACTCCCTGAATGATGTGGGTGGAGAATCTGAAGCTTGGGAGAAGGGCGGTTATTATAGACCATGTCCCACTGTCCTGGCCGTGCCCCAAGCAGGCTGATGCCAAGCTCGTCTCCGAGTGAGGTCCAAAGACCCCTAGGCAGAATCATGAGGGCTCTTGGTCCTGGGCCCCAGGCCTGCTGCCGAGAGCTACGTGCTGCGAGGGGTTGAGTCAGCAGGTGCAGGACAAGCCAACACCTTCTCTGGCCTCCTGCAGCCCATGCTCTGTATAAAGCAGAGAGGGTGGCCTTGGTGACAGTGGCCAGGCCTGACCGCCACGGGGGAGCAGGATGCTCAGAGCTGCCTGTGACCAATGAGCTCAGAGCTTCAGGTCCTTCGCCACCCATGGTCTCGTGTATGAGGGTGAGCCAGGGAGAGGGTGTCATTTTTCCCCATGGAGGGATCCAGACTCATGGGTGTCCCAGGATGATCAGGGATTCCCTTGGTCCCCACAAGAGTCCCCAGTGAAGCGGAACACCACACAGGGAGGGAAGCAAGGAGGCCTTTATGTTTTGGTGTTTGTATCCACAACAATCCTCACCCGGGCCCAGGGCAGCCTGGGTTGGGGAGGAGGGCAGGAAGCAGGGTGCAGGGGAGGAGAGAAGGCTGGAAAATTGGGTGACCTGGGAGCTCTCACTGCAACCAGAAGCCAGAAGCCATCACCAGCCACAGACATACAAGTGGGCATTGCTAAGTGCTGAAGCCTGCTGCCTGGCTTTACTTGGCCTCACAGGCTGAGACTGGCGAAATCACACTGGAACTGAAGTTTTTCCATGTGGGGAGATGGGGTGAGGGGAGGGTGGTCATTTCAGGCACCAGGTCAGGCAGGGGACATGTCACAAGTGTGGAGCATCCGGAGGAGACCTGTTGGATGTTTCTCAGGTCACCTAGGCTTACCACAATGTGGGAACCCTCCTGGCAGCTCCCCTTTCCTGCTGAGGCCTGCAACACACTGCTCAGGTGACCATGAGACTTGGCCAGCACGGAAACTTGAGTGGGATCTTGGCTCTGCCATTCACCACTGTATAACCCTGGGAGAATGGCTCTGTCCCCTCCCCACTCCCCGGCTTCCTTTCCCCTCCTGGAAGACAAGACGGTCCACTCATCTGTGGGTCCCCTGTCAGGGCCACACAGTGTCCAGTGCAGTGATGGTCTATAGAGCAGCCCTCCTCCTCCCCTCCCCTTCCCTTCCTCCTCCATCCCAGCACATGCAGTCCTTGTCACAGCAGGGCGAGCAGGAGGGGGCGTGGCTCTGCCCCAGTGCCCCTGCTCACCCCAGCGGTCTCTCCTCCAGTTCCACAGGAATCCGGGAGGCTGAGCGCTTTGGGACGCCCCCCGGGAGGGCCCCCAGCATCACCAGGGCAGGAAAGGAAGAAAACAGTGGTAGTACCAAGTACAAGTCCAGCCGGGTAAGTGGCTCATGCATCCACCTGGGAGAGGCCTTGGTGCAGATGTACCTTGGGGCCTCCTGGGTGAGCCTGGGTTGGGGTGGAGCCAGGTTGCAGGAAGAATACCCAGCTGCCACCTTCAAGGGACCTGCTGATGTTCTGGGCCAGAGGCAAAACACAACACCTGCTTCCAGACCTGCCGGGGTGTCGCTGCAAGTGTAGGTCTCTCCTGCTTGCAGCAGAAGTATTATGGGGGCAGGGTGGTGCTGCAGATTCTGGGACTTCTCCCAAACCCCTAAGGCTGGCAGTCTTGGGTGCCAGGGCACCTGCCTGCAGCCCAGGCACCAGGAGGGTTCTTGCACAGCCACTTAGAGTGTGCCCTCCCTCAGTCTGACCAGGAACAAGAGCTGACCCTCTGGTAACCCTAACCAAGTGGGCATGGGGTCTGACCATGGAGAGCCTGATGAAGGCAGGTTCCTCAATGCGCATGTGCAGACTTCAATAACAGCGCGGGAGAGGGCAACATCTCTGCTCACTCAGCAAACACGGTCTGTGTGCAGGCTGTGTCCCCATCATCGCCCTAAATGCAGCCAGTGTGGGGGCGTGAGCAGAAGAAAGCACCCCCGCCAGGAGATACTGCAGTCGAGACCATGTTGGGACCACATTGTCCCCCACAAGGTTCCTGAAAGCATCATGTGTGTCCTTGTGGACATACACTGCTAGACAATGCAGCAGAAGCATTAAAATCTCACGGCAGGAACCAGGGAGAAAGCCATCCCAAAGAAATTAGGCTTCCTAGAGAAGCAGTTATGCAGAGCTGGCCAAGGAGACACTGGCCTAGAAAGGCAGGCAGCCATGCATGCCCACAGCCATGCATATGGCCACGACTCCCACACCAGGGCTGTGGATCCACTCAGAGGGCCGCTGTGTGGGACAGCCATGGTTCCCATGTGCCAGCTGCCTCTGCATGCCAGTACCCAATAGCAGGTTTTGGAGAAGGAATTTCCACCCTTCACATATCTGCAAGCTCACAATTACCCTTCCCAGGTTGTAGCTGAGCCTCAGGATGGCAGGGCTGATGGAAGGCTTGGCCACAACCACACAGCCATGAAGTGGCAAAGCAGGGGTCCACGCCTTGCTCTGTGCCTTTCCAAAGCCCACACTCTGTCTGCCACTCCCCCGCCGTAGGTATTTGCTAGAACATTCCTCTGGGATGTGGGAACACAGCAGTTTGATGTCACATCCCTGCTCTGGCACTCTCACAGGTGTTCCCAGCACACCTGTTCCCCTGCTGGATAGGGAGGGAGGGTAGAGACGGCCATGGACAATCAGAGTGGCAACTCTTAACCTCACCCTGGTAGCCGGATGAATGATTCCTGTTGGGAAGACCAAACCTTCTCTTGGTGTTAATGCACAAACTGCTCCCGGGGTCTTTGGGCACAGGATTGCTGTTCCCAAACGAAGGAGCACAGAGAGGCTGGGGGGCTGCTCCCATCACACAGCAGTCAGCACCACCTGCCAACACTCTCCTCCTCCTGCCCTCTGCCCTTCTAGCTGCCTCTGGGGAAGATAGGAAGGGGCTTCAGCAGCAAAGACCCCGACTTCCACGATGACTACGGCTCCCTTCAAAACGAAGACTGTGGTGACGACGACCTCCAGGGCAGGCCCGAGCAGTGCCGGCTAGACGGCTACAACAGCCTGGAGGTCACCAACGTGTGAGGTCCCCAGGGCTCAACCAGACGCTACCACGGAGGGAGAGCTAGGGAGAGGGCAGCCGACACCCAGGCCCTACTCCCCCGACCCTGGCTGGCGATGACCCCCACCCCTGCACAAATTCCAGCAGCCGTCAGAGAGGCCGCGGTCCATGCCCAAATAGCCCGCTCAGCTGGAGCCTGACCCCAGGGTGCGTCCATCCCCCACCCCTGCCCCCAGCATCCAAGCTGTGCAGGCTTCATCCCAGAGTGGTCAGTCACTGAAGAGCCCTAGTGTCCCTCTGAGAGCCTTGAACTGAGCCACCTGGGAGGATAGGGGCTCCCACCTGGGAGGAGGAGGACTCTGCCCTGAGCCTGGTACACCTGCCAGGGCTTGGAGCAAGCAGAGCTGGCAGGTGGCAGGGGCATGACTGGCCTCATGTTGAGATGTGGGAGGTCTTAGCAGCCACATTCCCCTGGCCCAAGGACTTGAGCTTGGACTTGAGTCGCCATGACACGTGCGGGTGGACATGTGCTTGCTCCTCTGGGCGCGGGGCAGGTGACTGTCCAGGGCTAGGGCTTGGCAGCCACACCCCCTGGAACCACAGACACCCCGTCCTCAGAGTGGAAGAGAGGCTGGTGATGCGATCACAGATGGCAGTGCCACCTGCGGCCGTGGGTTAAGAACCCGCGGTGGGAGGTGGTTGACCTCTAAACATTTGTCTCCGAGTCACTGTCCCCCGAAGTAGAGTGCTCTGCAATGTCCTAACTGTCCTACGGGTCCCACAGAGCTCGGGGTGTTGGCGGCCTCAACCTGCCGCTGTCCCACTGCACCCTTCTTCCCGGTGTCCTCACCTCTGTGTGCCTCGAAGTCTTCATCCTTCCAGATGCCTCCTAGGTCCTGTGCAGATTCACACTCGCTGTGTCTACACCGTGCATTTGCATCACTCAGGAGACAATGGGGAATGACTGGACAGCAGTGGGGGTGGGAGGGTGTCTGATTTCCTCTTGACCACAGAAGCCATCTGCAACTCATTCTCCTCGAATCAGCTTTGGTCAGAGCACTGTGTGAAAGGAGGATGTGGGGGCATTCCACGTTCATTCTCCAAGAGCTGGCTCCGGGGCAGGACAAGGCGGGGGATCCCGGGAGCCCAGCCCTAGAAGCCAGCATGGCTCCAAATGTGGGCTTGTAGAGCTGGGACCCTGCTAAACAGTGACCAGAGAAAGCCCAGATGGATGCGGGGGGTCCAGCTTGTGCCTCGGCTCACACTCACCTATTGCCTGCTGGAGCTACAACACTCACTTCCTTCCAGGCCATTGACTGGCATGGGGCCATGGAGAGAGGTTTGCCCACCTGTGTCTGCAGTGGGGCCGGCCTTGGGGACCTGTCAACACCCAGCAGATCCCCCCAACTCCCTTGCAGAGAAAGCACAATGTGGGGGGTGCCGATGAACTTGAGCTCGTCCTCCTGGGGCTGGAGGCCACAGGCTCTCACAGCCTCCCTTCCTGCCCAATGGCCAGGGCCCTGACAATGGGCAGGTAGCTGTCCCCCTTGCCTCCACAGTTGGCCTTCCAGGGACACATGTCCGGTCTCAAGCCCAACCAAGGAGTCCTCGCATGATGAGGTCTTGCTCACAATCCAAAGCCAGGATCTCCGGGACACTCAGCTCCACCTACCCCAGGCTCCTGTGGCTGCAGACCCCACAGCTGGGAGGGCAGAGGGTCCCTTGCGGCTGATGTGGCACACAGCTGGGTGACCCAGGAGCCCAGGATTTGCTCCTTGGGGGACAGCGAGACCAGGGGCCTGAGCTGACAATTTTTCCAGTGGGGTCAGCAGGGAAGGTAGACAGGTGCTTAAGTCCATGTCAGGTCACCTGGGACGCACGTGCCACCAGGGAACACCCATGTTGATCTCAAACTCAGTTCTGCTGGGGTCAAGATGGACAAGCAGCCAGGTGGCAGTGGACCCCTGACAGTCAGGCCTGGGGCCATCTGGGCTGCATCAAGGGTATTTTTGAGTGGCAGGGGTCAAGGTGGACGAGCAGCCAGCTGACCAGGGGCCCCTGACAGTCAGGCCTGGAACCACCTGGACCACATCGAGGGCATCTTTGAGTGATGGGGTGCTGTGGGTGAGGCTCCCAGGTCCTCTCCGCAGTCCAGTGTTTGGGGCTGGCTCTCACCATGAGTGTCCAACCATTGAATAAACTCTGGGGTCCAATCAGGTGAACAGGGCCTATTGGGCAAGCATTCAAGGTCAACCTTGCTTCAAGGGCAGGTGCAGGAGCGGGGACTATAGGGAGAATGAATGAAGAGACTCTAGTTGCTGATGAGTAAATCCTGCCTTGTTTTGTTCACGTGGCCCCAAAGCGAGACATGGCAACTGGCTTCAGGAAGCTCAGAAAGCTGTTAGAGCTGTGCCCGTGGATGCTGCCCCCTGAGAAGGGTCAAGGGGAGATTCAGGGGAGGGAGAGACACCTCTGTCCCCCCCAGAGCCATTAGAAGGTCACCTGCCACTAGCGGGCCCTGTATGAAAGGCCCCCTGGTCCTTGGTCATGCAAGGAATGTTTTTTGTCCATGTTACTGTGGTTTGACCCCAGGAGGCAGGGAGATCCACCCCCTACACACACACACACACACACACACACACACACACACACAGCCCACCCATCCTGGGGAGACACAGCCAGGTCCACGCTGAAGGTCACAGACAAGCCTAGCTGGGTTGTGGCAGAACCTGAAGATGTGGCAAGACTTCAGTGTTCCTTTCAAGTGTGTCCAGGACCCCCACCCTGCCCCAGCAGTGGGGAGAAGATTTGCCAGGCCCAGGCTTGGCACCCCGTCCCATCAGACCTCATGTGCCCCAAGCAGCACTGCTGGCCTTCTGTGCTTCTGGCCTCTGACAGGCCTTTTCTCTGTTGAATGAGGACCAAAAGAAACCTGCCAAGTCACGGTCACTTATGGGTCCAGCATCCCTGCCGCAGTGGAATTTCTGGAGTTCTGGCTCCCAGGGGGCGCTGCGGCTGCAAAGGAAGTGAGTGAACAGAGAGGGTGGGGTCCGGGGCAGGGGCCCTGGCTGCCTCCCCAGGTACCAGGTGTTTGTGAACGCCATCATAATAAATGCCAGGCACCATGCTTCCCCGAGCAGGAGGCTTCTGTGTGTGTGTGTGTGCTCTCCTTGACCTCCCAGCAGCCTCATGCAGAAGGGGAGGTTGTGAACCCATTTCATGCACGAGGGCATTGAGGTAACAGGGGCAAAGGTGCTTTCCCAATCCTGTAAGGCTAAGAAGTTGTGGAGCAAGGACTTGAACCATTCCGGCTGCCACCAACTCCCAGCTCATGACCCCCACGGTTCTTCTAACCCAGCCAAGCAGAGACTTGGCAACTTCCCCTCCCCCTTCCTTGCAACACACCTGATGGTATCACTCAAAATGGCCCCTTTCAGGCACAGTGTGTGTCAGGTGTAGCAGACAAGGCCTCCCTCCCTGAGAGCCCTTGGCCGGCTTTGCAGCTCCTGTCTTCAGCAGCTGCCGGCCTCCTCCACCCAAAGCGGTGGCATCAGGGGTCCCTGCCCAGGGCTGCCAATCACCCAGGGTGGGTTGGTGATTTTGGAATCGGGGCGCTGATCCAGGAACTCTGTCCACCGTTTCTAATGCAATCAGCGCCTCCCACGTGGTCCACCTGGACACAAAGACCACAGATTCTTTTTCCCCTTTGCTGTCTCACAGTTGCCGTGGCTTCATTGGGCCCAGTCCCACGCAAGGCCCTTGGGGCTGCCGGGACATGTGTTAGCAGGTGCAAGCACCAAGAATGAGCGTGTGTTGTGGTTGTAAATTCGTGCTCAGGCCTTCATACAAGTATCTTGTTGAAGGCCAGTTCTGCCCCAAGAAACCTGTCACTCACTCCATCACACAGATGGGAAAGGGGCTGCCTGGTGTCTTCCCAGTTAAACTTCCTTTTCTCCCAGGCCCCGCCCCCTCTGGCCACCTCTCCTAAGGGGATGCTAAGCCAGCAGAGCACAGATGGATTGGTTCATCTCTGCATTTGATTAATCGCTCTGGAGTAGCCTGGTGCACTGCACAGCCCACCCCCTCCACCCACCCAGCCTCTCCCTGACCATGAGGAAACGCGGGTCCTCCACGAGGGCATTCCCAAGTTGGCCTTGTTAGTGTGAGGTTCATGGGGCCCATGACTTCTTGTGTGTTACTACCCCCAGACACCTGCCAGTGCTCTCTCATTGCTGGTAAAGCAAACAAGCAGTACATACGTTCACTCAGCTGCACAGGGGCCATCTGCACTCCATATCGGAAAACCAGGAACAAGCTCCCCTCTGCTTCCAATCACCCTTCCTGCTGGTGCACCCTGGGAGGCAGCAGGGGGTGACTCAGCCTGGGTGCCTGCCACCCACATGGGAGACCGAGGTGGGCTTCCTGCCTCCTGGGTTTGGCTGGCTGTTGTGGGCCTCAGGAGTAAGTCAGCATATGGATAACAATGTGTGTGTGTGTGTGCACCCCCTCTGCTTTGCTAAGCAAATAAACAAACCATTGAAAAGTTATACTGTCCAACATGGCAGCCACTGAGCCAGAAGTGGGTGAGGCAACCAAGAGCCGGGAGCCCCTGCTGCTCAGACAGGCAAGAAGCTTGAGTCCTGGCACCCGATAGCTCAGAAAGCACGAGAAACAGACTCAAGAATCCAGAAACACTAGACCCAGTGGCTCAGGGCACGTGACAGCCAGGACTGAGAGCCCCCATGCTGTCCCCAGGGCAGGAATTCTCAGTCCTGGCTCTGGGAACTGTCCGGGCCAGACCATTCTTCCTTACACCCTGGCCTCCCCCAACCAGATGCAACCCCATCCCCACCCCTGCCATGTTAACAACCCCGTGTACCTCCAGACACAGCCCAGTGTCCCCGTGGGGGGGAAGGGGACCAACAGTGTCACCAGCTGTGGATCACAGCCCATTCCATCCCCAGGACAACTCTCTCTGGTAGGCCTTATTATTTCATTGGACAGATGGGGAAACCAAGGCACAGAAGAAGGTTGGATGGGCAGCTTCAGCAGACAACAGGGAGGTCTGGCCTG